GATGATCAGCATGATGACAAGGTTTGGCAGGTTAGCTAGATGGCAGCAAGGTAACAAGTACTGTGTTGTGTTAGGATCTAAAAAACTTTTGTTTTTCTCCGTAATGGAAAGCTCCTGTCATTCTCTTACATACAAGAAGCTTAAAAATGTATTTATTTTATTTATTTTCTCCAGTTACATGTCTGATTGCAGATCTAATATGTCATGGGAATTGCCAACAGCTCTGCTTGTTAGCAGCTGAATGTCACTGAATGCTGATACTGTACATCACCATATAACTTCTCAGATCACACTTGCATCTACAATCCAAGCACTGCCACAGAAAGCTAATGAGTGTTCCTAAAGAGGAGGAAAGACTCTACAACCCACCATGTAAACAATAATTGATCTGCAGCATTCATACACCCATAGAGTTGTTAAGGTTGGAAAAGCCTTCTAAGATCACCCAGTCCAACCATCAACCTAGCAGCAGCGCCATGTTCACCCCTAAACATTCCTGAAGTGCTGTAGCCACATGTTTCCTGAACACTTCCAGGTCTGGTGACTCCACCACTTCCCTGGGAAGTCTGTTTCAGTGCTTTACAAACCTTTCTGTGATTTTTTTCCGAATATCCAATGTAAACCCTCCCTCCTCACCTGAGGCCATTTTTTCTCATCCTGTCACATGTTATCAGGGAAAAGAGACCAACACCCACCTGGCTACAACCTCCTTTCAGATACCTGTAAAGAATGATAAGATCTTCCTTTTCTCTAGGCTAATCAGCCTCAGCTCCCTCAGCCATTTCTCATAAGATTTGTGCTTCAGGCCCTTCACCAGCTCTGTTGCTCTTCTCTATACTTTGTTCCATCATCTTAATGTCTTCAATACAGTGGTTGATTACATACTGTTAAAAACTACCAAAAACTCCTTAGCAATGAGCTCCCTTTTTTTTTAACCCAATTCAGGCTGCTACTGTCATTATAAAATAATCATAAAACATCTTTACATCTTTGAAGAGCAGTTCAGAAGTTAAATTCCTAGCATGTGCTTGCCCTCACAGGGAGTCTCACAGGGTGTGATCAGCATCATGCTGGTCCTCCCATGCATACTGTGTAAAAGGATCATTTCCTCCTCTCTGCACGTAGTCTCTGTTCTCTATTGCACTTGTGGGCAAAAGAGTCAAACTGGGAGTTTGCATCTGCTCAGGTTTTAATAATATTATTCTGAAATACATCTTGATTAGCTGTTTTTCTGGTCAGCAGCTACTAAATCCTTTCCAGGTATAAGCTGATTTGAAGCTTTGATGTTTAATTGAAATGTATTTTTGAGCCTGTTGTTAGCACTGGTCAGTACACTGGAAAATGTAGCCTGACTTCTTGTGATAGGAACTGCTAGGGTGATGCAGACGCTTTTTTTCAATAAAGGTCAAACCCACAAAACTGCTGTAATCTGTAAACAACACACAGAGCATTCAAGAAAACCATGGTAAAAGGTAATTTTTCAAGTGGCGAAGCAAAGATCTCCAAAATAAGTAAATACTGGATTTACATCGATCCTCCTATGTTTATCTCCTTCCCTTTGCAGTACATAAAGAGAAATCCTGTGGGAATAGAAGAGTTTGTGGTCCTAGAAGTAATGATATTAATAATGTCTCACTCAAAAATTAAGAGACACACCACTGATTTTAGCCTTTTCTTCTTTATCTGTGCTCTGGTCTGCAGCTGAGCTAGACTGCTATAGCAACCATATATCATAAAATCATGGAAGGGACCTTAAAGATCATGTAGTTCCAATACTCTGCTGTAGGCAGGGAGACCTTTCACTAAACCAGGTTGCTCAGAGCTCTATCCAACCTGGTCTTGAACAATTCCAGAGGTGGGGCATCCATAACCTCTGTGGAAAACCTTTTCTGGTGCCTCATAATTTTCTTTCCATTTGATCCCATTCTCCTTTGCCCTGTCACTATATGATCTTGTAAATAGTCTCCATCTTTCTCACTGGCTGTCTTTTTCCCTTTACTCCTGGGACTTTACCTAGCTGCTCTGACTTTTCAAACATCTTAGGAAACAAGATCTTTGAAAAGAAAAATCTTTTCAAACAAACTTAGAAAAGTGACTTGGTAAATACATCAGTCAATTCCCTCAGGACTCTGGGATGTGTCTCATCAGATCCCATTGACTTACATTCGAGTTCCTCAGGCGGTCATGAACTGACCTTTACAGTGGGAGGGACTTCACTCCCCCAGTCCTCATCGGGCTGTCCATCCCCTTGAGATATGCAGGAAGAGAGGCTGACATTGTAGACTGAGGCAAAGATGTAGTTTGGTACCTCAGTCTTCTCATTTGTTGCTACCAGTTTTCCATCATTTTTTATCAGGGGGTACACCTTTGACTTCTTTTTTCTGGTTAATATTCCTGTAGAAGCTCTTCCTGTTATTTTTGAGTTCCTTGCCAGGTTCAGTTACAGCTTCACATTGGCCTTCATCATCCCCTCCCTTACACAACCAAACTTCATCTCTACATTCTTTGCAGGTTATCTATCGTTATTTATACTATCTATGTATGTGCTTATTTCCCTGTAGTTTGACATGCAGTTCCCAGCTCAGCCATAATGATCCCTTGCCTTCCTTGCCCTATTTCTTACTCCTGGGGATTGCTAACTATTGCACCCTGTAAAAGACATCCTTAAAAACATACCAGCTCTGTTCCAGCTAGCCCATTGTCCCTGAGGGCAGTATCCCAGGGATCCCACTGACTATCTCCTTGAAAAACTTAAATTCTGCTTTCCTAAAGTTCAGGGGTCTAACCTTACGCCTTACTTCACCCATATTCCTACAGACAGCAAAATCCACCACAGTGGCCCAGACTGCCTCCACATCCCCTCTGGTAGGACTATTACCTGGCTCAAAGGGTTATAATGATGCCCATATCACTCCTGGGAGAAAAAGATGGTTTAGAACACTGTCAGAACACTGTCATTCCTTCATTGTGTGGAAATCTACTACAGTCCATGTGTTTTATTTGATCTGTATCTGTTTGAAAGTGGTAATAATCAAATGTGTCAAACACACCAGTTTTTGCTATCAGAGGAAAAGAAAGCAAACACTGTGTAGACATAGGAGAAGCATTTAACAGAGGCTGGTGCACAGTGAAAGCTTTAATATTTGCCATTTCTCTCATTCTCTACTACAGCTAGATACCTCCTCTGCTGCTGACAGCTCCATTCTCTATAGCCACAGAATCAGACTGGAGAAGCTGCTGTAGATTCACGAGCCCACCTAAAGCTATGCTGTGCTGTTCTGAGATGTGTGCACGGTTACAGAGGTTAAGTAAACCTGCTCTCAGACATGCAAAGCTGATGGGAGCTCAGCAACATTTAGTTGCAGACATTGGGATGTTCAAAAGTAAAAGTATTTTTTAATTTTAGAATTGGCAGTGGTTTTAGACCACATTGATTATATTGCACTGTCTTGAGGTCATCTACCCTTAGTTCTAACTCCAGACTTTCACATCTCATAAAATACATCCAAATTCTAGTTTGGCTTTTCTCATCTTCTCCCTACATAACCTTGAATATCCTTATAGTCCTCGCAAGTTACCTGACCCTCCTTCCAGAGATTATAGATTCTCTTTTTTTCCCCTAAATTCCAGCCCAAATTCTCTGTTTAATCAGGCTGGTATTTTTCCCTGATGACTTGTCTTTCTACAGTTGAGGGCAGCCTGGTCCTAAATATTTAAAAATTCCTTCTTAAAGCACATCCAGCCTTTCCAAACTCCTATGCACTTCAGAACTGACTACTGATCTGAAGGGACTACTGAGGAGATTCTGTCAATAAGTGTCCTAAACAGGCCAAAGTCTGCTTACTGGAAGTCCCAGGTGGAAGTTCTGCTGGTACCTCTCCTTATTCCACCCAGTACTGAAACTCTAACATTTCCTGGCCACTATGTCCAAGATAACTACTGACTACCAAATCACCCACCAAACAACAGGTCTAGCAGGACACCTTCTCTGAAAGGCTCATTTACCAGTTGTGTTAAGAAGTTGTCTTCCATACACTCCAGTAACTTCCTAGATTGTTTCCTCTTTGCTGTGTTGTGCTTCCAGAAGACATCTGGCAAGTTTAAGTCACCCATGAATACAAGGGTCAGCAATCATGAGACTTCAGCCAGCTGCTTGTAGAATGCCTCCTCTGTCTGTTCATCCTGGTTGAATGGAATATAACAACTCTCACCACCATGATGTCCACCCTGCTGACTTTCCCTCCGATCTTTGCCCACAGGCACATGCAGTTTCACCCCACCACCTTTCCTGCTTTGCCTGTGTCTCCTAAAGGACTTATAGGTATCCATTGCAGCACTCCAGTCATGAGAGTCATCCCACCATATTTCCACGATAGCAAATACATAACTTTCCTGTTGTACAACGGCTCCCAGCTTCTTGTGCTTGCTGCTCATACTGTGTGCATTGGTGTAGATGCACTTCAGCTGGGCTAAGGGTTTTGCCTTCGTAAGAAGCCTGCTACCTCTAGACTGATCTCTAATAGCCTGGTCTTATCCGTTTCCCCCTCTGAGCATGGTTTATTACCTCTCAATCAGCCCTGCTAATTTCGGGGCCATAGTTTCTGTAAGTCTGTCTTGACTCAGTTAAGAAAATATCTATGGGGCAGGTGTGTTGTAAAAATTTGCCCTGTATTGTAAGTGAAGTGGCTTTGTTGAAGATAATTATCACCTCACAATGTAACACTAAATGAGATATCTCAGGTTAGTTGAGAATTTAACCATCCTGACATTTCAGGATTCAGCAGTGTACGTAAAATTCCTAGTATTGACAAGATGGAGTGAGAAGATGCTGTCAGACTTATGTTGTACTAGCTCTAGTCCACAAAAAAAAAAAAATTTCTTACATGGAGGAAACAGTAATTACCTCTATTCTCTCATTTTTCAAAGACTAAGAAGGAATGGTAGTTTTCTCAATCACTGCAAAAATATTTTTTAAAGAAACCATCTCAAAACTCAGGAGAGGAAGAGAGAAAATAACTGATTTTTCTGAAATAAGAAAATTTTTATAACAGAAAAAAAAAACAGATGGCATTTTAACAACTATTTTGGCATAGGTTTCAATGTAGTATATGAAAAGCTGACATGATCTTATTTACATATTTTCTTTGTTCCATCAACTACAGTTAGAAGAAAATATTTCATAAAATGCATTCTACATTCATTTTAATTGTTAGCAAGCAGAGTTGTCTGAAAACAGCTTTACACATACAGCTTATATACAACAGGTACAGAAGCACACTAACAGACACTTCTAAAATGTGTACACTGGGTTAGCAACATGCCTAGTAAAGCTCAAGACAGATTAACTAATTCCCCCACACCATACTACAAGAATTTGAAAGGACCTATATAAAATTTAGTTAACGTACTTGAAACAGACTTTGAATATTAGGTCTGGGAAATAATGAAGCAAAACCATCCTGATTTCCTGACAAGAAGGAGTTATAGTCTACCTCTGAACACCTTCGCCTTACGACATAAAGGAATAGACTGTAGCTTTCCATTCTGCCAGAAAGCTGGTTCATACTGTTCACACCACACACAGCAGTTTAAGACATTGGGTGGAGAGCATGAATCAAACAGAAGCATCACATCTACTACAAATTACTACAAATTATATTATTATTTTTCCAGTAGGGAAAAATATCATCTGGTAATGTCCACATCAAAAAAATTAATTTAGGAAATAAAAACCGTAATGGATTTCAAAGTTCTATGAAAGGCTATGCAGTGTAGAAAGATTGTCAAGCAAAATAAGGAGCATGGTACCACAAAAACCCCAGCAGAAATAAACAGAAAACTTGACCACAGTCAATGATAAACATCAAGAATTGACAAAGGAAGACTTTTAGCATTAGTGCTTTGCAGGTGTAAAATACTTGTGAGTGAAAAGCACTCGAGACTGATCAGAAGAGCAGAATCCAAAGCTTTGTCTGGCATCCAGGAAGAATTAGTGATATAAAATTAAAAAGTAGTTCTGAGAACATGTGGGCTCACACAAAACAAAGGCTTGAAGAAAGAGAAGAGGCAAAATGAAGAAAAAGGAGGTTGAAGCAATGTCAGGCAGTTATGGATGTGTCCTCGTTCCAGCCAGAAAAGGGTTCATTTCTGCAGTAGTCAGGAGGGACATGACCAGGACCCCAAGGTTACTCTATACCACCTCATGCCAAAGAAGGGGGCAGGGGAGGGATGGGTTCCTTCCAGTCAGGCCAATGGCAAAGTGAGTGGTCTGGGTCATGCTAAGTTCCCTGTGGTAAGTGATTGCATGTGAATCTTTCACTTCTTATTAATTTTTAAAACACTCGCTTATTAATATTGTTGCTATTGTTTGTTGCTTATTTCATTGCTGTTTCTAGAAAATTTTTACCATCTTAACCCTTAATATGTACCTTTTGTGCCTCAAATTTCTCCTCCCCATCCCACAGCAGGGATTCTAAACCATTCCACATAGATTTACAAGTTCATGTTAATCAGCTCCTCTGTAAAATAGAGAGGAGCCACTCCTCCAATAAATAATTCTAAGGAGCCACTGAAGTCATGGGGCAACTGCAACCAGCTCGTGTAGGCCATATGGAGCCAGTCTAAACTGAATTTAATAAGTTTTCTCATTTGAATGCTGCATACCACTTTAACTACATTACATTCTCCTATAGATCTCACTGGCTGGTTGACATTAAGAACTTCTTAAGAACAGATTAAGAAATCTGTTACTTTCCCTATTGAGTGGTTGCAACCAGGGATGTTTTATTTTTCCAGATAATTAGCTAGAACACTTACAGTTTACATCAATATAAGTTCTCATTTCTTTAAAAATTTGTGTAGGGATATAACTAGTCTTGAAGAAAGAGGAATTTCAAAAGAAATTTTGATCTTCAAGTGGTTCAGAGAGTTACAAACAGAAGTAAATATGCGCAAGTGTATTATTAAGGGCAAAGGGAACAATGAACTGATACACTGCATTAGCACTTCAGCTTTTGAAATTATAAGACTAGCAACTAATTCCAAAGTCCAATCTAAATTTCTAGTGTACTCTCTAGTATTCACCTTAGAGAAGTCACTGCAGAAGTACAGGATACAGTGTTGTGACAGAGACAGATCTGTGCTGGAGCAGTTCCACCCAACTGTAAAGAAAAACATACTTAAAATTACATTTGGCTCATGAACTGACCATAAAAAACTACTTCCACAAGGTGCCTTTGTCCGCTATTACTGCCCCTTCTAAGAAAGACACTGTGAACACCTTCCCTCCGGAGCTCAAACATGAAAGCTAACCTCTCACCTGGCTTGGGAATGATTATTTGTCAGATTCTATGCCACTGTATAAAGGGAAATTCAACTCTGACACCCCCCTTCAAACTTTTATATGAACAGCCTTTTATAAGTAGTGGCAATAAGCTTCATTCATTATGTCTATTTGACTACCTGTGCTAACATGTGAGCTGATTAAAGAAAAAATAAATTAAAAATAAAAGTTTAATGGACTCCAAAATGCCTAACAGTCTTAATAAGCAAAACTAGCACACACACCACAGAGCTAAAGTAATGCAAAATCTATTAAAGCAAAACATAAGCCTGGATCAATATTCAGTTAAAAACACACCTTTTCATATCAGAAAATTTAGACTTTTTAAAGCAATACTTTTTATCAGATACACTGCTTTGCTTTATGTTAAACATATATCAGCATCTCCTTTAAAGTACAATATTATGTCAGTCAGTTTTGTTTTGACAATAAAACATATTCTTCACTTCTAAGAGTCAGACAATGTGAAACAACCTCAGATTAGCCAGAATTTAACAGAGCCTCTCTTCTGAGGACTGTCTAAGAACAAGAGCCAAAAGTGACTTACAAGCTGCAAAGGAAAAGTTCAGATTATTTTCAGAGTCAAAAATCACACTCATTTGATCATAATGACATTTCTTGTTTCAAGTTGTGCCCATTCAGTTGTGTCATAGTAGTTACTGTGTTCCTGGCATTGCTTTTCAGGGAAGTCATTTGAATGGCAGAAGAGTTGCACAAGTAGCTGGCAGATCTCTCTTTCTGAGCTTTCTTCCTGCAGCGGAGCTGGTTGTTGAAATGTCTTCTAAAACTCTCACTGAGGAAATACAGTGCAAATGGGTTGACACAAGAATTGCAGAAGCTTAGCACTCGGGCCACTAAGGTAACAACCATATGTCCCATCGATGGATCAATCTTATCATAATGAAAAGATCTGTACATGTATAGCACGTGGTTAGGAAACCAGCAGATAGCAAAGAAGCCAACAAAAACTAAAACAATTTTTGCCAGACGCTTCCGAGTTTCCATCTAAAAAGATGAAGAGAACACAAATGAACAACAAGGAATAGAACTACCCCACATAACAGACTTAATTAAAATATGTAGCATTTTGCTGTATTAGCTTCAGCAATTGTCACGAGTAAGGCCAGGAAAAATTCTTCCTTCAGGTCCTGAATTACTTTTGCTATCTCATTTACTTTCCTTTTCTTCTTTCAGTGACCTTTCTTAGCTGTTTGCAGTTACAGAAGGTTGCTCTTTCTATACAATACACTCAGCAAGAGAGATTCATGACCCAAGGAAGCACTCACTGGCTTTTAACCTGCACATGCACCAAAGGATGTTATGAAACATAACCTTTTCTGTTAAGATCTCAGGGCTTGCTCAAAACTTAAGTTTTAGTTAAAAGGCCATTTAGAAATAGTTTCTGGCTTCAAAATCTCGAGATATCATGAGATATACATTACTAGGGTGTTAGATATACAGTGGTACTTACATGCCTTTGTTTTTCACTGAGGGCCTCAGCTTGCACCTCTCTCCTTGGGAAACCACAAAAATTGTATTACACCATCCAAAGCATCTTAATTCCAGGGTAAGGTGAAAGGTTCCATTAATTGCAATAAGATCACAAAATGTACCTTAATTGCAGTGCTAAGGTATAACAGATTTCATTGCAGATACTGAGAATGGCTGAAAAAATGGCAGGATAGGAGCCTACACAGAGGTTCCAAACTGAGAGAGGGAGATAAACTGGCCAGGTAGAAGTCACCTAAGAGAGGCAGAAAATTTCCCCATACTCCTTCTAAAAGAATTGTTATGTATATCAGGTATGAAAATCTCGCAGAGGAAGGAAAGTTTTCTACTCTGCTCAATTTTCTGGGAAAAAAAAAAAACAAACAAACAAGTGAATTTCTTCTAACATTTTTTCAAAACCTGCAAAATTAATCTTGAAATATTCTTGGGTCTATCTAAACAAAAAAACTAGGGAAATCAAAAAAAGATAGAAAAACTTTAACATTCAGATTTGATAGTATTTGCACTCAGATTGCAAGAGCAGACTAAAAGGTGCAGAAGTATAGTGTGAATATTATACTTGGCTTAAAGAAACATGAGCTGATAATAATAGTCTGAATTTATTTCCTCTTTCTGGGAGATATGTAAGTTCACCAGAATTTTCTATTCTTCAGAGCCTCATAGATTAACACAGAGAAAAAAAAAAAAAACTAAGTAGAATGAAAAAATGTGTTCTTACTTTGAAAATACATGTGAGTTCAGAAATGTGGTATAAATTAAATATTGTTTCCATCCAGAGGGTTCAGCCAAAAGGCTCTCTATATTTCACAGGGAAATAAAATAATACATGAAGTGCTAATATGTATGCACTTTTGACAAGAAACAGACTAGAGCAGAAATGAAATGCTGCTCAAAATGTAAAGGAATGCAATCTTTGTAAAAGAATGTGTGCATGCAAAGAGATTTCTGAGAGTATGCAAGTAGTTTTCTAAATTACTGGTAGAGAAAACAATTCAAAACTGTTTAAATTGCATAAGTATTTTTCTCTATCAGTACTAATGCTTTTTTAAAGCAGTTGAGGCACTTTCACTGCAAAAGCTGTTGTTTGTACATATGTGTATTCCTGCTAATGTTACTATCGTATTGCTTCCTTTGCCTTACAGGGAAGATTGGCTTTGTACAGTATTTTAAAATGCTTTGTCTCAAAGATATACAGAATCTATACCAAGAATTTTATAGCATCTCTAACAGAAAGGATACTAGAAAAGTGCAAGTTCAGGATTGTATCCAAGAAAGTAAAAAAAAAAAAAAACCAAAAATCAGTTAATGCTCTGTGTTCACGTTTCCAGCACTCCTTCATCTGAAAACAATCTCAGATCCCCTAAGGAAAGTTCTCCCTGCCTATGTCAGTTTTCTCATTTCCAAGCACAAAAAGGGACAATTCTCAAAACATTCATGTAAGGTTTCTTTCCTAAAATGACTGCCTATAGAGACAGGTGAAGCCACCATCACTAACTACGAAAACATCAGTTCTCAGTAAGAATACAAGTAATGTGACAGTAATAGCACATACAAACATATATACCAATCTCATTTGCTGTTAGGAATGTGCATTCATGGCAGTGAATTTATAATTTTCCTTGTTCATATTCATTTACATACTGGGCTTAATATTGAGTAAGCATGAAAACAAGGAAAATCTTGAGATAATCTTTGGTTTATTTCATGTGGAAACTGAACTAATACTCTGAAAAATCCAACAATTTGGATGTTATAATTCCTTGACTTTCATTTAGAAGTGTATACAGCACACAGATCTTTTACCAGGATGTAAAAAGCAAATTGCTTACCTGTCTTTTGGAATGCTCACTGTGCTCCCCAGGGATGTTGTGAGCACTTTTTATTAAACTCTTTGCAATATGATAGTAGTAGATACTGATAATTACAAGAGGAACAAGGAAATACACAAGGAAAAGCAGCACAGAATGGATCTTCGGATGCATGTCATCTGTCATGGGGTATGGTATGCACGCTGTGAAAGTGGCATTATCTGTGTCATTGATGTGAGCCAGTTCGGAGAACACTGCTTCAGGAATTGCCAGGAGCATGGAGATTACCCAGATGGCAGTGGCTTTGAGACAGGTCCATAGCACTGCACTGGAGGTCTGGATATCCATGGGATTTACAATTGCTTTATACCTGAAATTGACCAAAATGCAGATACAAATTAAAAGGTATTCAAATTCAACATGCAATCCACAAGCATACTTCATATCTTTGATTAAAATAATGTCATTTTTTTTTCTTATTTGAAATGTCAAGGGGCTGGTAATCTTTCTTTAACTTGCACTCTCTAAATCTCCACCTTTTTTCGTATACACTCATCAGAGGAGGGAGAAGGAGACCTGGATACAACCTGTGGCTGTAGGTGTGCATTCTGTGCCAGTGTGGTGAAAGTGAAGAATCAGCCATGGCTGTTTGCTTCTCCAAATACCTTCAGCAAATCTCCACGTGTGCATCCTACCTCCATACTCCACATATACCAGCACATGGACACCTAGTATTTCCTTCCTTCTTTCCTCAGCTCCTGAAGCCCAGGGCTCCCACTTGCTGCCACCACAACTTTCCCACTCTAGGACACTCCCAGCCCCCCTCAGAGGAATATCTGCATCTTTGTAAAGTCAGGCATATATGACTCCCAAGCACCTGTGCAGAAAGTATTAAACGCTTACATAAAGTAAACATTTCCACATCAATAGTTGGAAGCTGCTGCTCTGCACACTGCATTTTGCAAAACTGTCTCATAATGTATGATTGCATATAAACCTTTGTGGAACTGATAATTTCATAGCCCCTGCAATGGAAACAGGAAGAATTGAGAATGGAAATATCTCTCTAGAGTAAAATAAAATAAATTAATAGAAGTAGACATTGGTCAGGAATTCTATTATTAAAAAAAAAAAAATCATTGCAGAAGGTGATACAAAGTCAAACTTTCCACAAGAAAATGTTATAAGGACAAATAGAATTTGAGAAAAATATTTCAAGGATACCTTAAAGTTCCACTTAGATTTTTAATTTATTTAGTTTTTTTTAATGTAAGTAAATTATGCATTAATGTTTTTATTAAAAACTAAATTTTAAACAAAACATTTCATTTTGTCTAAGCTGTGGCAATATGGAAGCTCATGAGATTTTTCTTAAGTGCATTAATTTTTTTGTTTCTACTTTCAATTTGATTTGGGATGGCTGTGATTTTTTCTGAAAGAGCTCGCATTTTGAGAAATTGAAATAATTACTCTTCTTTAATATTCAAGGAAAAGTTTAACATGATAAGGGGAGTCAGGAGAAATTCATACTCCAGGTACATAACTTTGTTCATCCTCAGGTGTTTGTAGTTTCTGGAGAAGTATGAATCACTTTCAAAAAGTGATTCAGATTTTATGTATATTAAATCATCCTCTAGGGGGCTTGGTTTTTTTCTCTGTTAGATACATAATGAGCTTAGATTAAGGAGGACAGTAAGTTAGAAGCCTCTACTTTGTGATAAAATTCCATATCCATGTATGTAGATAGATATACATGATGCATAAATACGTATGGGTATGAGTAATTGTCTAAATACTTCCCAAGGATTAGTTTATACCCAAATATAATGTGGCTGCTGAAGGGAATGCTGATAAATGGAGCTGTGATCCCACATACATCTTAGGGCTAATTTGCAGGTCCTGACAGGTAGTTCATAGACCCTCAAGACCTTAAGCAGATGTTTGCAACTGGCTATGCCATGAAAACATCTGGAGCAGAGAACTGTAACAGTACCCATGGAAGCCTTTTCTTCAGAGAATATGTGAGTCAAAATGTGCTTTGGAGCTGTCTTTCTCAGGTGTGTGATAAATTGTTTGATCATTAAATAACTAAAAAAAAAGGCTATTAATGTTCATATCCTCTCTAAATTCAGAGAATTTCCGAGAATTTTTACTATATTTTCACCCCTATAATGGAGTAGAAAACAAAACTCAGCAAACTGTCTCTGTTAATTTATATTTACCATTTCTGCTAAGACACAGTGAGAAACTCCCTGGACACCAAGGTGTAAAGAAAGCCTTTATATTGACACAGGAAGGACAGAAGTTTCTGCACAAAGCATGACTACTGCCCAGCACAAACTTTGACGTTATTATTCAATAATTGCTTCCTATTGCTGTCTGCCTTTATTTCATTACATAAAGACAGACCCTCTATTTTTGAGGAGATGTCAAGTCCTTACATCTGCTCGTTTTTTAAAAAGCTTGCATTCTTAGGGAAGAGCTGGTTTGGGGATTTTGGGGTAGGGGGAGGAAACTGGATAAAAATTAAGTTTTGTAGTTTTGTAGTACACCTTTTTTTCCTCTCAATTTCACTCCATCATTTCAAAATATTTTGACCACAGTCCTATGACCCAAGTAAATGACCATGTCACAAATAATTGTTTTAGCAGCAAACTGGCCTAGTTAATCTCTAAATGGAAGACTTTTTCAGAAGTCTTTACATTAGTAGAAGATGTGGCATATATTTGTACTTTGGCATATATTGATGTTTCAGCAAAAGTATGCTTTTCCCCGACCCATAACGTACTCCAAGTGGAAAGGCATTGAAGCAGAGTGCCCTTTTTCACAAAACAGCTGAGTTTAGTGAAAAAAAAAAAAAACCTTCTTTCATTCAACTTGCTACTTTACTGACTACAAGGTGGCACTCTTCCTATGACTCAGCCTTTCACAGGACTCCGTGTCAAGAAAAACGCACTCTGTTTTAAAAAAAGCTTGTCATCTTGTTTATATATTTAAAAAGCTATAGAGTGAAAAGAAACAGGTTACAAATAAAATAAAATATAAACTGAGTGTAATGAAAAGTCCCCAAAGTGAAAAACCAACCTCTTCCTTTGTATAAAACCAGTGTAAAGCTAAAACATGCTACCAATCATTCAAATTACAAACACCATATGTTCCATCAATAAAAACAATGTCAGTAAATTAGACTAATTGTGCAAATTAGTCAAATTAGCAAGTAAATTCATCTTTTCTTTTACTTCACTGATGAAAAAAGAGCACATTATAAGTTGCCATGAAGTTCAGGAAATAATTATAAATATGCATTTGGTTTTAATTAAAAGTTGTCATGTAAATTCTGTCTTCCTATGTCCTCTATCATTATCACTGCTGACAAAGGGACCCCAGCTCGGAAAGCCCTTCCTGTCTTTGGAGCTGCGGTTTCTGCCAACAGACATAAGCACAAACTTACCCACTCTCCTTCAGCAGATTTTTTTTTTTTTTTTTTTTGGTATAGTGTTTTTTTTTTCCATTTAAAAGCAATCTCCTCCCTTCTACACAATCCCAAAATAAATTCTCCAGAGATATAACATTTTGCTCCCTTCTAAACTCCAATCTATTTTATCTACTTCTCCTAATCTTTGTTTTCAAAAAGTTATTTCTCAGCTCCAAATTAGAATGGAAAGCTCTACTCCTTTTTCTGCTGCACCCACAATGCTGTTTCCCTCCCACACAGCTGATTTCAAAAGAATGTGCTCCTTTACTAGACCTGTGCTGTCCTTCCTTTGCTTTCCTACCTGTTTTTCTAGAGTACTTTGTTGTGATGACTTAAAAAAACTAAAAAGAAAACCCCCAAACTACTAGTCAATACTTAGGTAGCTACTGGAAAATAGCCTACTATTCTAACTAGATTAGCCTCAATATCTCCTTGCTCTTTTGATTCTGCATGGTGTCTTGTCCTTTTTTAAAAGTCCTTCAGGTCAAGGACTTCCTTCTTGTTGCTGCTTATATAGTACCTACCACAAATAGGACCCTGATTTATCACCTAATTTCCTACATGAAATTCACAATGAAAATAAATATAATGAAGTGTCAGAAGCCAGGCAGAGACACGGTTCAGGCAGGGAAGTTTCACATTACTTTTTTTTAATTTTCCTTTTAATCCTGGAGCTGGAGGGGTTAGTATTATTTGCCTCATTATAAATAAGCTTTCTAAAGTGATGTTGCTGTGCAACTGCATTTTCCTGCAAACTAGAGTAATTTATCAAAACCATTCATATGGTAGCCTTTTATTGTGTCCCTGCATGGTGCTTTCAAACACAAAAATTTTAACAACATAAGAGCTTATAAGTATATCTGAAAAAGAAACCTGTTTGTATAATCAGTACTTGTTAAAAATACCCATATCATGTCCAGTTGAAGTCCACTCAACTGCAGTAAAATGAAATTTTGGATGGGACCCTTTTCCTTGTATGGGCAGTTCAATTGGCTCAACTCCAGCTGAATCATTAAGAGCACAACAATTTATCTAGCTGAAAACATTGTGGGATCATTTTATCATTTGATTTGAGATGTGCATTGTTCTATTTTATTTTTATAAATTCTTGAAACGTAAAGTACATTTCTCTCTTTTTTCGGGTAATATCAATATTTTTATTCTGTGCTTATCTCTGGAGAGCAGAGAATTGCATTCACTCAGGAATGAGCATCTCTGAGGTCTGATAGTGAATATAATGAACAGTATTTGAAATGCAGACTAGAAGACCATGTGTAAACACACTTAAAGTCAATGTCAATGACATGTGTTCTGTGTTTCTCAGGGGGAAAATCTTAAGATTTTCCTAAGTGGAAAAAGTTTTCCACTCTGTAAAAATACACTCTGCTGAGCCAAAAACCATCAATAACAGTTCAACACTTGTTGATGATTTCTCCACCTTGAAAGAATCAAACCAGAAGTTTCCCAGGATGGTGGAAGGGTGTTTTTCTGCATGAATTTTATTACCTGGCCTGTCCACCCAGCGCCTCAGAGGAGAAATTTTATCTTTCCTTTTCATTTTTTCTTCTATTTCTACTTCTGCTACTTGCTATTTGCCTCACATTAGCTAACTATGCTTGTTACAAGCTCATGCAAATCCTGCAATGCCAGCTCATTGCCTACAATCTGGACTTTACTTCTTCAAAGCCATTCATTTATATCTGCACTAGTTAAAAGTACCATAATTAATTTGTTCAATTCTGCTCCTGAATCCAGTATTAGTAAGTTGTTTTACCAGCTATTATTCAGAAAAGTTCATATATTTGAGTATTTCCAGTAAATTTATATTTAAGTTTGATAATTTCAAGTCACTGATGAACATGGTTTAACTTATCTTAAGAGAGACTAACAGGTCT